AAAGAAAACTGGGAGAAGGCTCTAAAGAACTATCCATTTGTTTTTTCTCCCTTTTGGCCAGCTTACTAGGGGACTTTGTGTTTAAGGAGAATATCTTAGAGAGTATCTGCCACTGATAACCTTTTTCTCTTGTTTGATATTAGAAGCATTACAAAAAGGTCAGAATGGCTGGGAGAAGGAGGAGAGGATGGTAAATATGAGCCCAAAGCAATTTTTGCAGGTAACTGGATTGTAGCACTATCTGTGAACTAGTTCATCATATAGGTAGATACTTTAGAAATAAATTATCTGTAAGATTAAGGGACAAAGATAAAGCTATCAGTTTGACATAACTGTCCACCCAGGAATTACAATCCATTTAGTAAAAAAGCCAGCAGTTTTAATTTAACCTCTTGAAAGGTTTATGCATAGTCTTCTTCCAACCACAAAAGAAAACCACAACCACAGGACAAATTATCCTTTGCATGTTTCATAAGATATTAATAACTGGAGCAACAATAGAGCTTGTGCTAATTTGTCAAGGCCCAGGAGGGGAGTCTTTAGGTAGGGTGACTAAATGATTTATTGTCCAGACCAGGACCCTTTGTGTTATGGATTGAATTATGCCCCCCAAAAAATGTGTGTGTCAGTTTGGCTAAGCTATGATTCCCAGTATTGTGTGGTTGTCCTCCATTTTGTGACTATAATTTTATGTTAAAGAGGATTAGGGTGGGATTGTAACACCACCCTTACCCAGGTCACATTCCTGATCCAATGTAAAGGGAGTTTCCCTGGGTTGTGGCCTGCACCAGCTTTTATCTCTCAAGAGATAAAAGGAAAGGGAAGCAAGCAGAGAGTTGGGGACCTCATACCACCAAGAAAGCAGTGCCCAGAGCAGAGCACATCCTTTGGACCCGAGGTTCCTGCACAGAGAAGCTCCCAGTCCAGGGAAAGATTGATGACGATGAGGACCTTCCTCCAGAGCCGACAGAGAGAGAAAGCCTTCCCCTGGAGCTGATGCCCTGAATTTGGACTTCTAGCCTACTAGACTGTGAGAAAATAAATTTCTCTTTGTTAAAGCCAAATAAAAAAAAGAACTTGTGCTAAGATTTAAGTTTAAGTAGCTTTTTTTTTTCAGTTCTTTTCATCTGAAATTGTTTAGATTACCTTCAGAGAAACTTCTCAACTGTTGCCTTGCTGGAAACAGTTGACAAACTTTATAAGGCCAAGGTTACTGGGGAGATTCGCTTTATACATTTTCTTTAAAAAGGAGAGAGAGAAGAAATAAAGGGGTCCTGTGTCAACCAAAGAGGACTGAAATAACAGAGACTGAGCTTTGTAGAGAAATAACAGGTAGATGTGAGTGTCAAGCTTGGATCTTTCCCCCTTATTTCTAGAAATCAGGTTGCTTGTTTGGTGCATCTTGGAGAAGCAGTCACTTTCAAATGGTCATCCCACAAGTCTCCTTAGCAGCCAGCCAAGTCCAATGGCTCTCATCCAACTAACTAATCCAGGGAGTTATTTAAAATAAACCAAGACCTCCCCCATGAAACCTAATACAAAGCCCTGTAAGAGGAAAATGTAGCTGATTAGATGTAAGGACATTAGTAGCACTTGAGTTATAAAACAGCACTCAAATGATGACCCACCTCTCCAAAAAAAGACATGTCTAACAATCGTTGAATCAGAGTCCAGTTTAGAAATCTGTACATTTGATTTAATATTTCTGAAGGACAGGGGATTCTACAAAGAAGGAAAAATCTTCATGGAAGACACAGCATAACTCTGGAAATGGAATCAGATGGAAACTTTGTATGGCAAGAAATAAAATCAGAGGCGGTACAGCAATGTTCATCACAGCACTATTCACAATAGCCAAAAAGTGGAAACAACCTAAATGTCCATCAAGAGATGAATGGATAAACAAAATGTGGTACACACATACAATGGAATATTATTCAGCCACAGAGAAGAATGAAGTCCTGGTACATGCTACAACATGGATGAACCTGGAAAACATTATGTTGAGCGAAATAAGTCAGACACAAGAGGACAAATATTGTATGATTCCACTTACATAAAATATCTAGAAAAGGCAAATGCATAAAGATCAAAGTTTATCAGTGGTTACCTGGGGTGAGAAGGAGGGGAATATATTACTTAGGTGGCACTGAGTTACCATTAATGGTGGTAGAATAACTTGGAAAAGGATAGTAGTAATAGGTACGCAAGATGATGAACATAATCAATGTCACTGAATTGTACGTGTAAAAATTGTTGAACTGGCAAATGTTTTGTTATATATATTTTTACCACAGGTAAAAAAAAAATCAAAGGCAGCAGATTCCCTTCTCCTATGTTCATTTAGGCAAAATGAGCAATTGTGGATCATTTCAGTGAGCAGCTTCAACTGGAATTAGTGTTCTAATAGGATGGTCCATGCCCATGCACATTCAGAATCACAAAGAGCCTTTGCCTGCATTTAAACTGTTGCCGTCCTGATTTTTATGCCAAGTGAGAGATAGACTTTTCCTGCTGAGGAGGTTCTCGCAGAGCACGGGGCTGAAACAGAAGCTAAGGCTTTCCCTTCTAGGGTACTGGCCTCTAACTGGCTGACCTTGGGAAAGTTAGTCTTCCTGTGCCTCATCCTCCTGGGCTGGTACAAGAGAGCCCTGGAGGAGGTAATCTCCAGAGCTCTTTCCAGTTCTGAAGTTCTATGTCAAACAAAGGTGGGCATGGGAGTCAACAGGAGAGGAAGTGTTTCTGGTATGGCTTGAGCCCCCTCCTCCTCAACACTGGGGAGGACTCACTGATGTAGATTTTTAGGTAGGGGAGCACCAAAAACCCATTGCCGTTGAGTTGATTCCGACTCATAGCAACCCTCTAGAACAGAGTAAAACTGCCCCATAGGGTTTCCCAGGAGCAGCTGGTGAATTCAAACTGCCAACCTTTTGGTTAGCAGCTGAGATCTTTAACCACTGTGCCACCAGGGCTCCTCGGGGAGCACAGGACCCTGTAAAAACACAGGGAGATTTACAGTGATTTGATAAATGACTTGAGCCCAAGACTGTCTAACAGTAAGGACAACTTCTTGTTCTGTCTGAAAGCTTCTTCAAGTGATCTTTTATCGCTTACCAGTTACTGTTGAGTTGGTTCCGATTCATGGCGATCCCATATGTGTCAGAGTAGAACTATGCTCCACTGGGTTTTCAATGACTGTGATCTTTCAGAAGTAGACCACCAGGCCTTTCTTGCGAGGTGCTTCTGGGTGGACTCTAACCGACAACTCTTTGGTGAGTGTGCTAACCCTCTGCACTACCCAGCGACTTCTTAAGTGGCCTGTTGTGTGCTGTGGAGTTGTAGCAACCCTATAGGACAGAGTAGAACTACCCCATAGGGTTTCCTAGGCTACGGTCTTTACTGGAAAAGATCATCATGTCTTTTCTCCCATAGTGGGTTCAAATCACTGACCTTTAGGTTAGCAGCTGAGCGCTTCACCACTGCACCACCAGGGCTCCTTTTAAGTGGCCTAGAAGAGAGGAAAAGGTATTTAGCAAGCAGAAGATGCAGGTCACAGGAGAAAATGTTGTAACAGCATCCGGTACACTTTTTGGCAGATCAGTGGAGTGTGGCTCATTCCCAGACACAAACCACATCAAAACTACTCAGTATTGTGCTGAATAATTTTGTAATTGTTTGTTAAAAGAACAAACCAACATGACTCCCACACTTATGGTGTCTTTTACTGTCAGCAGCAAGTCCTGGCCTGCCTGTACCAAATCCACAGTCAAGAAGATCTCCAAGATTCCAACTTTCTATTAACAATGCATCTTAAATTGGGGAGGGGGAGGAGGGGCACATGTCTGCCAGTTTTCTTTGCCCCCTTCACAAGCTTCTTAGATATCTAAGAGAACGCAGCAGGAAGTCATCTTGCCCAAATACCTGCTAGAGCAATGTTTGGCTCTAAAGTAAGGGGATTCAAGAGACCTTGAAGCTTGTGATGGATTCATTCTCCTTACTTGATAGTAAATTTTAGTACAACCACAGGGGAAGTCCGAGATTAAAAAACAGTTGATGTTGATCCTCTATCTTGGAAGTCCTCACCTAGGGCAGCACCTAATGAGGTGGGCCTTCTACCATATACTGTGGAACAATGGCCTGGCCCTGCTAGGGATGAACAGCTGCTGGTTGACTGGAGGCCTAGACTCACAGTTTCATTAAGAAAAAGTGTGTGTGCGCCTGGTGGTGGGAGTGGTAGGGTATGGAGTTTGGGAGCAAGGGGTGGTGACAGAAGTTGCAGATTGCAGAGCGACCCACACAAGCCCTCTCCGCCTTAGGAACTTAGTAAATCACTTCTCTGTGCACCTGCCTTCATCTTTGTAAAATGGAGAGACTTTTAAAAGTTCCGCCCGCATTTCATTTCTCAGCTTTAAGAAGTAACATCTGCCTGGTGGGTAGTGTCTTTGGAGGGAGTGTGGGGTATACAGCCCTGCCTAGCGAGAGCCCGCAAGTGCTAAACCATTTTAGAGGCAGAACGCTGTGTACCGGTGAGGCGTCCCCCGCCGCGGACTCGGGGGTACCCCACCCTCGCCATCTGTCAAATCAGCCCCCAGGGGAGTCTCCCCCCCGCCAGAGAAAGCTTGTAAGGCGGTTTTTCAAAATCACTCTTCTTTCTTGGAGCCTGGAGGGCGCGCTGCGTCATCTTCCTCCCCACTATCTGAGGCTCAGCCCAAAGACCCGGGGAAAGTTGCCATACAAATTACCAGAGCTCAGCTACAGGACCACTTAAGGCTCGTCCCGGGAAGGGCGACCCCGGGAAGGGCGACCCCGGGAAGGGCAGCCAGCGCAGCCCCCGCCGCAGCCGCCGGTCCTCGCGTGGCCAAAAACCTGCGCGAGGAGGGGCAGCCCGCAGGCTGAGGGTGCGCCCGGGCTCTGGGTGCCCGGCGCGTGCTAGATCTCGGTCGCTCCTCGCGCCCCGCCTGCTGCCTAGCTCACCGCCGCCGCTTCTTCCTCCCCCGCAGCCGCGCCGGGACCATGTCGGCGGAGACCGCGAACGGCCCCACCGAGGACCAGGTGGAGATCCTGGAGTACAACTTTAACAAGGTCAACAAGCACCCGGACCCCACCACGCTGTGCCTCATCGCGGCCGAGGCCGGCCTTTCGGAGGAGGAGACCCTGGTGAGCGCGGCATGCACCCCCACCCCGCCCTCAGCCTCAACCCCTGCCCGGCCTGTGCGGCCGCGCCTGCGGTCGCCTCCGCCCGCCTCGCTGCTGCAGGGGTCCAGCTCGTCCTCCCCCACCCCCCCGCCCCGGCTCGCCGCCTTTTACCCTGATCTTGCATCGCTTCACCCCGCTCTGTCCTCTCCTCCCCATCCTGGGAGCGCAGACCCTGCATCCCTTCCACCGCTGCATCTCAGCTTCCCGGCTCCCATCCCAATGCCCCTCCACCCTAACCCCTGGTAGTTCTCCTAGGACCTGCTTAGAAACCACACGTGCGCCCTTCTTTCACCTAGCTTTCCACCCTTCCCTTACAACCCGAGATGAACGCTAGCCATCTCCTCCCCCCGAGTTGGGAGCAGCGTTTCTGCCCGCTCTAGTCTCCCTTTCCCTGGTTCAGTATCTACTCTGGACTGTGAGCGAGACGTTCGGAGAGAGGCCCTTTGCGCTGTCTGTGCCCATCGCCATTTATCTATTCTCGGCGGGAATGGTAGAGCTGGAAGGGATCTTAGAGATCAACTATAAGATCAGTCTTCAGGTTTGGCAAACGAGGAAACTGAGGCCCTGAGGGAGTGGAGGAGGGAGGAAATGAATAGCCTGGATAGCATGGGTCGTTAGCGGCAGCCTGGGTCTCCAGTCCCGACCCCATGCATACTCTTTCCACCACATCACACTGCAGCTTCCTCTTAGCCGCAGCGCTACAACTGCAGGTAGCCAGGGAGATTAGGTTCAGATTTTTAAAAAAATTCTCCAGCACTAAGGTTTGGAGTCCTTCTCTGGAATTTTCTAAAAAGGTACACAGCTGATATGGAAGCAGATGGCCGGTCCCCACCATCTCAGCCCAAGGTCCCGCGGAAAGTTGCTGTACAAATTCCTGGGACCTCAGCTGCAGGACCGCTTAAGGCGAGTCTCGGGAAGGGCGACCCTGGGAAGGATAGCCAGCGCAGCCCCGGCGGCAATGGTTTATTTATTTTTTCAGCTCCTGTGTTATCCTGAAAATTGCTTAGGGTACGGAATGCCCGTGATTACTAACCCACCAGGTGCAGGGTTGGCTCCTTCCGCTGATTTTTTTTTTTTTCTTTAAACTCTGTACTCTTCTACTTTCCGTTTGGTCATGGAAAGACAATTAGTTATGCATAGTAATACTACTTGGACCTGATCTAACATCTCTTCCGTGGGAGCCCAAAGCACTCTGCACCTGTAGTCTGAACTCTAAATCAGAGACGTTCTCTTTCTTCCCGTTTTATACACCAGAGTACCAGGCAACCTGTCCTCTCTTCACCATAAACCATGTTCAGTAGAGGTTAAAAGCTTGTAGTAATGGTGCTCTAGTGGACCTAGAAGGAGCCATGGTGGCGCAGCAGTTAATGTGCTGCTAACCAAAAGGTTGGCTGGC